CCCCCCAACCATAAACAAGCTGTGGAGGAGTAAGGGGTCCCAGACACTTGGGTGGTATTCATGCATGCATGCACACACACCCAGGACTCCTGGGTTGTGTGCGTGCATGCATGTCTAGGACACAGCTTCTATGCATGCATATAAGCCTAGCACCTGGGGAGCGTGCATGTGCACACATGCATGTTGTATGCTCAGCACCCATGGGGGAGTGAGGTGTGCACACATGCGTGATGTATACCCAGCAGCCTAGGGAGGGGAGTACGCACATGTGCAAATGCCATGCGCCTAGAACACCTACCATGTGTGCGCGGATGTCAAAGCCAACCCCCCACCCCACATAGGTGCCCCCTTGACCAGCCCAGCTCAGTGCCAGGCCTCCTGGGAACTCCTCAGGCATCCATGGCTCCTGCATGTGCGGGGTCCTGCTCTCGCTGCCACGTGCCTGGACCAACACCACTGGGTGAGATAGAGACCTGTGTATGTGCATGTCTCAGACACTTGGGCTGTGTGCTTGCATGCGTGTGCTGGTCCTAGTGCAGGCCAGACTGGGGACCAATCACGCCTTTTCCACCCACTTCCACCTTATCTCCCCTTGCCCCAGTCTCAAAACAAAAAAGGGAAAAAAAGAGATGCCACGAAGAACAGCAACCCAAAACCCCATGCAGATTCACAGAAGTTTCCAGCTGGAAGGGACCTTGTGAGCTCATTAGGTCCAGCCCCCCTGCTCTGGACAGAAAAGGCTGCTGGGGTCAAATAACCCCAGCCAAGTGTGCACCCAGTCTCCTTTTGAAGGCTGCATGCCCACTCACTCCCAGCCCTGTGGTACAGATGGGGATGACTGCGAGCAGCCTCGACCCCGTGCTCACCCATTTGGGTCAAGGAGCAGCAGCAGGGAACAAACTGCTGCTCAGCATGGGGGATAAAATGTGGCCCCTTCCCCTCCCCATGGCCGGCGCTCCCTGTGGCAGCTGCTTGGAGCCCAGGCAGGGATGCCCAGCCTCTCTGCCGCATCACTGCCACTGCTGGGTGGCAGAGCTGGCAACGAAGGAGCTGTACCGGAGCCTAGCATGGTGCAGGCTCTGGCAGCAGACACTGCCTAGTGTTGGTAAAGGGGGGGCGGGGGCACTTTCCTCTGCCCCAGCAGCAGCTTGTGCCCAGCTGCTGCTGCTCGGCCTGATGGGTGAGCCTGGAGCTGGCGCAGGGGCCAGGCTAGCAGCAGTGGGGAACAAACTGCTGCTCAGCATGGGGCAAAAAAGCACGCCCCAGACTCCTGCTGCCAGCGCTTCCTTGCTGTTTCCCATGCCATTCTCGCAAGCAAGCTACAGAAGTCCCGGCTGAATGAATGGTCTGCAACGTGGAGAGAAAGCTGGCTGGAGCATTGGGCTCAGAGGGTAGTAATCAATGGCTCATTGTCTAGTTGGCAGCTGGTATCAAGTGGAGTGCCCCAGGGGTTGGTCTTGGGGCCAGTTTTGCTCAATGTCTTCATCAACAACTTGAAAGATGGCACAGAGTACAGGACACCCTCAGCAAGTTTGCAAAAGACATTGCGGGGGGGGGGGGGGGGGAAAGGGAAGAGTAATAAATATGCTGGAGAGTAGAGCTAAGATTCAGAGTGACCTAGACAAATTGGAGGATTGGGCCAAAAAGGCATCTCATGAGGCTCAACAAGGACAAGTGCAAAGTCTGGCACTTAGGAGGTAACAATCCCCTGCACCAGTACAGGCTGGGGTGACTGGCTGGGCAGCAGCTCTGCAGAAGAGGACCTGAGGGTGACAGGGGACAAGAAGCTGAACAGGAACCAACAGGATGTCCTTGTTGCTAAGAAAGCAACAGCATCCTGGGCCCCCAGGATTGATAGGAGCATTGCCAGCAGATCGAAGGCAGTGAGTCTTCCCCTCTACTCAGCACTGGTGAGGCTACATCTTGAGTAATGGGTTCAGTTTTGTGACCCCCCACATTACAGAAAGGATGTGGACAAGGTGAAGAGAGTCCAGCAGAGGGCAACAAAAATGGTTGTGGGGCTGGCGGATGACTTGTGAGGAGAGGTCGAGGGAACTAGGCTGGAAAAAGAGATGGCTGAGAGGGGGATTTCATAGCAGCCTTCAGCTCCCTGCAGAGGGGCTGCAAAGAGGATGGAGCTGGACTGTTGTCAGTGGGGGCAGATGGCAGAGCAAGGAGCAACAGTGTCCAGTTGCAA